CTCGGTTAAGTCAAGTTTCATGAAAGAATTGAAACAGAGGAATTGAATCTTGAATGAGAAAGCTTGCAGTGGAATAAACTTGAAATCAAATCATGGATCTGTGCTTAGAATGGACAGAGCTCCCATTCCTGAGCTTGAGGAGGATTAGCTACTCATACTCATGATGGACATCACAAAACAGTGAAGAGAATTCATGAAAACCTAATCTAACTTGACAGAAACGTGATCAACAGAGGAGAAGAGAAACTTGAATCTAAAGTAATTGTGGCTACTGCTGAATGAATGAATCTCTCCCCGTGAATCCCCTAAACCTAACTTATCACTATATATACTAATAACCAAACCTAATTAACATTCACTGATCGAACCATTGTTGCAGAGTTGGGCTTGGCCTTTGAATTGGAGATCATGTCTTGGGCCTTTAATGAGTAACCACGCCTAGCTCACGTTGAGGCATGACCAAGACGCGGTCATGGAGCTTCTACCACGTTGAGCCCACGTTGCCACTTGAAGGTCACGCGGTCATGGGGCTGTGGTTCATGGTAAATCCACGTTGTAACTTGGCTCTAACTTGGTTTGGGCCTCACTGCCACACCTAGGCGTGGTGAGTGGTGAAAGCCCACACCTAGGTGTGGCCTAAACGCGGTCCTAGCGCCATTTTGGGCCTTGGATCAGCCTTGGATCACGTTGTGGCGTGACTTGATGTGTGCTTGTCCCTTGGGTATCGATACCATGTTGCTGGGTATCGATACCCAGCCTCAAAATTGCCTTGATTCTTCAATTCTTCTTCTTTTTTCAAGTTATGCTTTGCTCCTAATTTCTTTTCTTTGTAATTTCCTGTAAAATATAACAAAACACTCAAGATAGTAAATGATTGTAATTTGGATATATTTACTTGAGTATTAAGCTAAATTACCGTTAAAAGCACATGAAATTAGGGCCTAAAACAATCAATGATGCACACTCATCATACGTGTAGATGGGACGTCATACGTGAGAAAAGGCAATGAAGAAGCATATTGAGGCAGTAACCCCACGTTATATGTGGGAGTTACACGCCATACGTGGGAGCCAATATTCACGTTCCAGTAATTCATTCAATTCCATTCCAATCCAAGTTGTTAGACCTCAATTCCATCCATTAATCAATGGCTTAATTGGAAGATTAAAAGATTTGATTGATTGAAGACTCAAGAGAAGAAGATAAGGCTTGTAATTCTAGAAGATAAGATTAGGATTAGATTAGGATTAGATTAGATTGTAATTTGAATTTGAATTTTCATTAGGATAGGTATAAGAAGTAACTTAACCACTAGGGTTAGGAACTTCAGCATAGACGTTTTCCATTATTATTAGATCTAGTTTTTCATTATGCAAGGCTAAACTACTCCATTATTAAGGGTGAGGAGCTCTGTTCACCCATCATGAGGTAATCTTTCGTACATTCAATTATCAATTCAATGAGGTATTTTCAGTTATCTTCTGTGCATGATTTAATTTTCCGTTCTTTG